CCAGGCTTTTCCCTGAAAGCCCACCACATAGCCAACTCTGCAGCCACCGTCTTTCCACTTCCTGTAGGGGAGCCTAGGAGGACGTTGGCAGGAGTGTGATAGAGAAGGTGGAAAATCTGTGTTTGCATTGGGTTGAAGAACTGGAAACGCTGTCCATAGAGTTCTTCGAGAATAGGATTTTTGAGAGCAGAAATCGGTAGTGGTTGGAGGTTGAGAAGGTCTGTATAAACACTTTCTGTGTCGGGACGGATAAGATGTTGGAATGAGACTGGAGTTACCGTTTCCACACCTAACCATCGATCTGATATCGCACGAACGTAGATTTGACTTGGTAATGGATCCGAAAGCGGGATGGTGAAGTTGAGTTCGTGCTCATCATGGAGCTTCTTCCGGCTGAGGATGAAATACTCATGATGGTAAATCTCGGAAGTTTCCGAGTTCTCTACCCAGATCCAGTACGATTCTGAAGCTCCATGATGCCTGTCATTCCAAGTATACTCGGGATAAAGGCATAGGCGGATGCGCAGAACGTCGCGGTTCAGAGGTGCGATTTCAGCTTCCACGCTGAGGGTAGGGAAATTGTCTAATAATTTTGCTAGCGTCTTGCCCATTTTCTGGTTGTGAACCAGCTGCCCAATCTCTGCAATATCCATGTCCCTCATCGATTCAATAGAGGAACTGGGCAGCCTCTCATCCAGATTTCTGAGGATGGGTTGGGGAAGATCAAACTGATGGAATGGGTGATCGAAAGGCCAGATCTGTTTCTCAATGGACTTGCACATTGACAGCAGGACTTGGCATTGGTAACCCCAACGCCGGTTCAGTGCAATCATAAATAAAGCGCGGCATATACGAGCTGCATTTTGTGCAACATAGCCGGTATCCGATACCAATGCGAAGTCTTCAACTTTAGCACGCGAAATATAGGACTGTAGCAGAATATTGGTCTTTGCATGAGGAGAATCGTTTCCACCCTCTATCTCTGTCTGAACGGCCTCTTCCCGTAGCCTGTTCAGCTCCTTTGACTCGTTTTCTCTCGACTGAATATTGTCGAATTCACCGCTCATACTGATCATTTTCAGCACGTCTGCTTCTCCTGCCTCGGCACGCATTAATTCGTTGAAAATTTCGATGCTGGTCTGCAGAACGTAGTACTGGCTTGCAATGCGGCCAACATCCTTCGCTCGGAGTTCCTCTGTCCGTTCATTGAAGATGATCATTTGACTCTTTTGCAATACGAGGGCAGCTTGAATGATCAACTGTCGACGTCTTTGGACTAACATGGGATCGTCACGTATTTCAGCCCACTCAATGCCATAATTCCGAGGCTCCCGCTTCATGCGCACAAAGAGGTAAGAATATCCCAGCCACTGTACAGCTTCCGGGACGGAGGTGACCGTGCCAAGCGAAATCTCGGCATTTAAATTGTCTACAAGTCTGCTGGAGAAACGTGACTCAATCGGCTGTTGGGATGTCACCGCAGAGAGATAATGGTGCAGCTTATCATGTGTGGTACAGATGAAGCCGATACCCGTATCTTGGAATTGGGGACGACCAGCACGACCGAAGATTTGAAGGACATCGAGAATGCCAAGGTCGACGAATTTTCCCTCCTGGGGATTGTACAACTGTGTTCCCTTAATGACAACTGCCGCAGCAGGAAGGTTGACACCCCATGCCAGTGTAGCGGTACAGCAAAGAACCTTAATAAGGCCTTCGGAGAACATACGTTCCATCAAGTTACGGTCGCTCCGGCTCATTCCAGCGTGATGAGTTCCGAAACCACTGGCGAAAAGATCCCGTAACTCACGAGCACGAGCATGTTTCATATCCTTGAGCCCGTTTGAGTAGTTTTCATGGTCCTGGCAGCTGAAGAGGTTCTCGCAGCCCTCATCAGCAGCCATTTGTTTCAACATTCGAGCAGTTAAGACAGTATCTTTCCGCGAATGCACAAAGACCATGACCTGATGTCCTCTTTCAAGCATATCACGCACTTTCTCGTAAGATACAACATCAATGTTTTCTCGAGATTGTTTGGAGCCAGGCTTTCCTTTGACGCCAATAAAGTGTTGCTCAAGAGGAACAGGTCGAAACGAACTGTCAAAGTAGAATAGACCAGCCATCTTATTCACCTTGAGAAAATCGGCGACATCGAGATAGTTGGGCAGAGTGGCAGAAAGACCAACGATACGGATGAGTGATTGCGTACTCTCGACCTGACGCTGGGTACGGGCTACCAAAGACTCGATAACGGCACCACGCTCGTCGTGAAGCATATGAACCTCATCGATGATCAACAACCGTACTTTCTGTACAAGCTCAGTGTCTCCAGTGCTCTTCCGTGTTACCACGTCCCATTTCTCAGGGGTGGTAACAATGATTTGGGTTTCAACGATCTCACGCTTTGTGAGTTGCATGTCGCCAGTCAGTTCACGGACCTGAATTCCGAGCCAGGCCAGTCGCTTCCCAAGCTTCTCAGTGACTTCAGCAGCCAACGCTTTCATCGGAGCCACATAAACGATCTTGAAGTCATCCACCTGAACGGCAAACTCTGTTGCCTCCAGTTGTTCAACAGGGTTTGGAATAGTATTCTTGCCAATGGCATTGAGAATCGTCAGCATCGCGGCGTCCGTCTTACCAGCACCAGTTGGAGCACAAATAAGCATGTTTTCACTTGTTTTGTAAGCAACTTCATACAGTAAACTCTGCATCCGGTTCAATGTTTTGTAACCTTTGAAGGTGCCTTGACATAGGCCGTCCAATGAAGATATTTGTACCAGCTTTTGCGTGGTTCCCAAAGTGCCTATCCTGGAAGCTGGAACCTCCACCTCCGTGTATTTCTGCTCATCTATCTGCTTGCTACCAAGAGGCAGCCCATATTTCTTTCCACTAAATGAAAGAACGTTCCTATTGTCATGCGACTTAAAAACGTGGGGGTACTGTGGCTCCTGTCTCGTTTGCGCCGGCATCAATGGAGCATTCTTGTGTTCAAAGTCCTGCTGCCGTAGGGCCTGTTCCCGTTCTGCCCTTGTCTGCAACCTTCCTGAGAAAAGACCATCCGTCTGCGCTTCCGGACCACTGTGAATGCCCCTGAGGATTTCCGTCCGATGTGCGATCAACTCAATTACGAAGTCCAAGTCATCGAACCCAACAATTTCGGCCAGGGACATTTGCAGTTCGTCGTCTCCGCTGTCGGTCGCTAGTGCAGCTGCGATCTGTTGGGCTAGCTCATTGGCACTCAGCCCGGGCTTTTGAGAGGTTAGGCTCTGGCATTTCTGCTCTAGCCAAAACTGGTCGTAAGACGACGCTGAGGGAGAAGCGAAACCATCGAACTCCTCGAAATCAGCACTGGACTCATCGTCGGAACTGATGACATCCCAGATATCGTCGACTGTGGCGGGTGATGAATAGTCCTCGTCAAGATCTAGATCCAAGTCACTGCCATAGCCAAGCTGGTCTTTAGCGGGGTCTTTGGGAAGCTTTAGCTCTGCAATGGCCTGCCGCATGGCAGCCAGTTGCGTAAGCCACTGCGACTCAACAGATCCAGGTCCGCCCATGATGAGAAAATGTGCACAAAGACAATGCTGTACAAAATGAAGACAAGTAACAGGAATAAAGCAGCAACTAAAAGCCGTGGAGTTGGAGTTAGATGGAGAGGTTAGATTTGAGCGGGCAGAACGAAAGACCGCCTAACAGATATGATTAGCGGTAGATAGGACGAGAGTATGCACTATTCCTAATACAGGTGTAATGATCTATCAGGGCTGACGTAATCGTCTATAGTTATTGTTTACACCCAGATAGCGTTTTCTATCATGGTGAAATTTCAGGACAGTTCCTTAGGTAGGGAGGTGGAGTAGTAGTGCATACGATCTAATGATTATAGAGCTAAAAGACCTCGGCTCTGAGTTTTGGTTGGACACGTTGGTGGGCGCTCCGGCCGCAGCTGAGAACAGAATACTGTGGTGTTCATGAGCGTATAAATAGCATTTTCAGAGTAATATGGTGCAATAATTTTGCCATATCTAGTCTGCGAAAGCTTTTGAAAACCCCTAGTATTTAGGATACCAATTATCAAACTCCTAGTCCACAATGCTAGCGAAATTTCCATCGTTGACCATGATATTCGCAAGGCGTAGGTCTCCATGGGTGAACACAATCTGGTACTTATTCTGGGATAACATGCCAGCTAAGAAGTGCTTAATGTGATATCTCGGTGCCATTAATTGATAAGCATCGATAAGTACCTCAATGAGAGCTTCTTCGGTAGTAAACGGTCCTTGACATGTATATTAGCTTTTGTGACAATTCAAGCATAGACATCGCTCCCAGATTGGATCCGTAACAGGGCCAAAGCTAACCGAGCCTATATAGTCGCTGGGACCAATCTCATGAAGTTCACAGGTGTATTGTTTGAGCTGGATGGGGACACGACCTTTTGTGATCTTATCATATGTCTCCCAGGCTTTATCCGGAGTCTGGCCCTCCATAAAACTCATAAAAATGTAAGTATCAAATAGACAACCGAAGTCAAGAATATCTCTGCTTATTGGACTATAAGTGTAATAGGCAGATATTTTTGGTACGGGCATTGCTTTGTATTTTCTTTGGTTAATATCATACTTGTCGCCTCGTTAAGTGTAACACGAGATCCGAATTTACCCCAATTTCAGGGGATACCCTCGCTATCCTAACACTGCCCCAGTGGAAGATAGTGTTGCTCTTGTTAACCTTCTCCTTGACAGTTTGCAGATTTAGCACCGAAAAGCTAGGAACTGAGCAAAGGATATTTATTTCTGGCTCACTGTCCACAGGCTGTGCAGTCTGCTTCTGTTCGGTACTCGACATTTTAAAGAGATAAATAGGGTAACAAACTAAATAACTTCAACATGTAGACTTTAGATGACCAGTCAATGAAGGTATGTTTGGGTCCGCGATAAACAATCTTGCGGGGTCGTTGCCTGAGATGACAAAACTAACCCAATCAGATGACTGCTTAGTTGGAATGTCTCCATATATAACTTCAAACATAGAGGGGCCTTGCTCCTTACTTCAATAGGTAAATCAAGTTCATGATTGCAAACGGGAACGCTTCTTGATATAGCCCCAGGATAGAGCATAGGTTTATTAGAGAGAGTCTTATTAGTTCCTCTAGGGTTCAAGTTGATATAAATATCGTTTCCCCGCAGATGATATTCATGCCAATGAGCATCTGGCTATATAAGCTGTGACCTATTAAAATTTAAATGGCAAGAACACATGTATGCTCAAGGAAATACCCACATCATTGGATAAATTTTAATATCTAACCATAAAGTGCTGGCATTGGTGATGAAAGCCAACGAAGTTGAAGTTCGGTCTCATGTATGTGACGAAGCATGTGATTGGCCGAACTATTTATGGACAGCGTCAGTGACCTCCCGCAGCATAAGTTCTCCACCTCAAAGGCAGGGAACAGCAAGTCAAGACTACCCTCGGGTCTCCCTCGACCTACACTTCCCCTCTTCACCGTAAATCCTCCTCAACCATGACCTCCCCCTACCATCGCCGTCCTATACCAGATTACTTCCTTGCCTCTCCACTCGCCGCGTTCCTCTACCCTCTCCACCACATTCTCCTCAGACTCCGCGGACCACCTCGATTACCTCCACCAGACGCCCACCCCATCCGAGTCGTCTGCATCTCCGACACCCACACCCTCGAATGGGATGATGTGCCAGACGGTGACCTTTTAATACACGCCGGCGATCTATGCAACGATGGCAGCGTGCGCGAGATCCAAGCAGCGGTAGACTGGCTCCGAGGACTACCCCATCCCCACAAGGTAGTCATCTGCGGCAATCACGACAGCTACTTCGACGTACGGTCGCGACTAGAAGAAGACCGGGACAAATCCTTCGCAACGGTTTCCTCCTCCACAGCCTCGCTCCGCTCCATCGATGACCTTGAAAGTCCCCACCGCATCGACTGGGGCGATATCCACTACCTCCAACACTCCGCTGTCACCCTTTCCTTCCCTCCACCTTCATCCACCGGCTCTCGTACTCGCTCCCTCACCATCTACGGCGCCCCTCAAATCCCCGCCCTTGTTCCCTTCGGCCCCGAGCATGCCTTCACCTATCCACCCCACTACGACGCCTGGTCAGGCACCGTTCCCCCAAACACCGACATCCTCATCACCCACACCCCACCACAATCCCATCTAGATCTCTCCCCCGTATACTCCACCGGATGCCCATTTCTTCTCACAGAAGCATGGCGCGTCCAGCCCGCCCTCCACGTATTTGGGCACATCCACGCCGCTTACGGCATGGAGCCAGTCTACTGGGATGAGGCGCAGAAAGCGTGGGAACGACTCTGTGCGTCGCGGCGACGACGGGCCCGTAACGGCCGTTTCAGCTCGCTCTTCGGCTTTCTCCGAGACCTGTTCAATATTTCCGGTTTGGTTGACTCAGCCCGGGTCGTTGTGTATGGTGTTTTGGGAGTGGTGTGGGCTAAGGTTTGGGGTGGTGAAAATCGCGGCTGCGGGTGGATGGTGAATGCAGCTTGCATGTCTCGGGATTCGAAAGGGTTGTCAAATAAGCCGCAGGTTGTGGTTTTATAAGACCGACAGAGTCATGTCAGTATGGTTCTTGGGGGTTGTAAATAGCCTGGGGAGGTAATGATTGACGTGTGCATGTACATAGGTTCGTTTGGTGCGCTATGCATGGTGTTTTTGCGGCGTTACCTCTTATAAATATTCTTAATTCTTGTTGGGGATTAGTTGGAAGCAGGTGATAAAAGTTGTTTAATCTTAAGATGTATTCTTTTTGTTTATATTTATAACCCAGTCATCACGTCTATATGTCTGGGAGTGCGTAACGTCTTTTCACTAAATGTACAGGAATCACCATCATATATCGTCGGACCACGTCTGACGATGGGGTATATACAATCGGCTAGGTGGCGAATCTATCAACCAACGACCGTCAACAACATAAACCGCAAAACAAGCTTCACGTGAAGGACATGCATAAATAAAGGAAGCCAAGAATGAAATTTTCAACCACTACAGCTTAGCCTTCTCGCTAAACCGAGGTGCCTGGAGAGGATCATAGGCACGGAGGGTCAAGGTGTCCGAGGGAACAGAAGCATGGTGACCGCTGTTCAGGCCACGGACATCGATCAGGCTAGGGTTGAGGTCTGCAATCTTGGTGGCTCCAATCAAACGCATGTTCATTTCCATCTCGTCCTTGAGAAGCTGCATCGCGCGATCCACGCCGGCCTGGCCGTACGTGGACATGGCGTACAGGAATGGCCGTCCGATACCTACACCACGGGCGCCCAGGCACAGGGCTTTCAGAATATCCGTGGAACGACGGACACCGCCGTCAATGTAGATCTCGATCTTGTTCTCCCAGCCGCGCTCTCGGAGGATGGGCATAACGTCTGCGAGGACCTCGACGCCAGAAGGCGCGGTGTCCAGCTGGCGACCGCCGTGGTTGGAGAGGACGACACCGTCCAGACCTATCTCGGCGGCACGGAGGACGTCTTCAACGCGCTGGACACCCTTCAAGACGATGGGCATCTTTGTGATGGACTGGAACCAGGGAATGTCCTTCCAGGAAAGAGAGGGGTCGATGAACGACGAGATGGCCCTGGCGGCACCCTGGGAGCGATCAACGGCATCGCCTCCGCTGGCTTGGACGTTGGAGCCCTCGTCGGAGAATTTGGAGCGCATGTCCTTCTCACGGCGGCCGAGTTGAGGGGCGTCTACGGTGATGAATAGACCCTTGCAGCCGCGGGCTTCAGCATGCTGAACAATGCGCTTGGTGATTTCGCGGTCTTTGTTCACGTAAAGCTGCAGCCATTGTACCTGGTCACCCTTCTTGGCGTCCACAATCTCGTCAAAGGAGCAGGAAGCTAATGTGGGGATCATCTGGATGACATCGTGATCGTGGGCAGCGCGAGTGAGCACCACTTCACCCTCAGGGTTACCCAGCTTTCCGAGGGCAGTGGCGGTCACGTAGAAGGGAATCGAGGTCTTCGCTCCGAGCATTGTAGTCGAGAAGTCAACATTCTCCACGTCAACGAGGATTTGAGGACGGAACCAGATCTTGTGGAAGGCAGAGTGGTTTTCACGCATAGTCTGGAGGAGTTAAATTAGCATGGTGCAATATTCTGATTCGTGCTATTGCCCCTTACAATTTCATCATCGGCACCGCTAGAGTAGTATGCCCATGCGGTCTTTTTCATCACATCCCGTGCGACTGCCTCGAAGTCCATCAGGTTGTAGCATGCTTGCAACGGGGGCATCCGCTTGATCCGCTCTTGCCGTTCTGTTTCTTCGGGGTCGGCAACCTTCTCTTCCTGTTCGACAGTGCTCATGTCAACCTCTCCCAGGTGCTTAGAGCCATCGAGGTATTTGTCTAGAGTGTCCGGAGGGTGGATAGGGTCGAATTCCTCGGTCGCATCCTTGCCTGCGTACTTCAGGATGATCTTTTGACCACCGGGATGCTCTGTTGCCGCTGTTAGAAGACTTTCAGCCTGAAGGTACCGCAATGTACTATACCTGGTAAGAATTCGGTCACATCGTACGCCTTTCCATGGACAATGACCCAGCAAGAGTCGCGGGAGTTGTGCTGGGCGACATCGGCGCCGGTGAGCTTGCCTTTGTTCATCTTGGGTAGAAAATAGAAAAAGAAAAGTTGTATGAATTGTTTCCGTGGCGAGACAAACTGATCGAAAGGCAGAAGGAAACCGGAGGTTCCAAGGAAGCTATAAATATGGGTGAGATAGTAAAAAGTCTTGTCCCAGAAATTCAAGAGACGAGGTTACAAGTTAGGCTTAGGCTGAACACATGAATGGACCTCGGGATAATGGACAGCGAATTGAAATGGGGCTCGCAGCAATCGGAGGGCACTCGTTGGTCGGATAAACGATAAAGAACGGGAGTTGATGTGCTAAACTGCGAAGCCTGGGGAATCATTGCGGGGATCCGATTCGGGCGACGTGTTTCTCGGCCGACTTTGTTGCGGCGGCGGCCAAGTTCCAGACTTCCAGTCGGTTGGGTATGGAGTACGGAGTACCTCCACTACGGTCACTTATGTATGTACCATCGCTGAACAACAACCATCTTCCCGTGAACATGTCACGGAAACAAAGAGAGTGCCCCTTTAAACCCCTTTAAATTCTATGGGAGCTCATTTCCTCTGATCGGATATGATTTGGTAATAAATAGCGCTGGAGATCCCCGACAATTGATCTACGTATATTAACTCACAGTCCCCCCCAAGAGGTGAACTATTTCTGAAGTCGCATTGGCAGCCTCCCCCATTCTTATGGGGCTTGCTGGTTCGGGTCCTTCAAAACAGACATTGGAGTATCCGATTTGCACATTGAGAATGTAGGTGGCAAATATATCAGATGAACATTTTTCTTCCCTGTTCTTACCCTTACATATGTAGTGTGGATTGCAATGTTTAATGGAAAGTACTATCGAGTTGATACAACTCCAGATATTATTGGGCCCAGACCTGCAGAAACATAAGCCGAGTCTTAGACTCATATAACAAGCCAAGCAAGGGACACGATGTTGTGACACATGCTTTTCCAGAACGAATGGAACAAGGGCCTGTCGATAAGGATAATCATGCAGAGACATTCTGCATGCATTTCCAAATATGGAATGCTGAATGCGTCTGAAAGAAAAACACAAGATGGCAAAAGGAGAAACATTGCCGAGTTAAATGCAAATTAAGCAAACTCTGCTAGGAACGAAATTGAAGCCAGAACTTTCAGGCGGCAAGGCATCAAAATCCCCTAGTGTCTTCCAATTGCTGTAACTGATCCGAGAACGTAAGGCTGATGATCTCCGATCATAGCTTACCAATGCGCGGTTATCTGATAGTTATAGCGTTTTCCCGCAAGCTTGCAAAATGGCGCACTTGGTTGTTGGTATTGCACCTGTGTCGCTCTACATTTACTGAGCAAATGCACTAAAATGAGTAATCTCAGAAGCAGGAAAGAACTGCTTTAAAAAGCGCATGGGTGAGTACCTCTGTCATTATTAAGTTTGGTGATAAATACCTGTCATTCCAATGGTATCTTGCAATGTGATATGGCCGAAAATGCGTCGTGAACAACGTCCATCTTCAACCTAAGTGCAATTTATGCTTTTCTGCTTTGATAGTTATGCAGAACGTGATACTGATTCGATCTGAGAATCTCGCGCTTCAAAAGAAGTCATGAGATACAGACAAGCTGAGATACCCGGCCCCTGCTTTCGAAGGCATGAATGGCGCTCAAATGGAGACTTGATTATCATATTGAAGATAGGCAACGTAGAAGCGGGGTTGCAGTTTTCAACCTTCGAAAAAATCATAAGATGAATCTATCCTGCCCCTCGTTATTCCACTGTGCATCATTGGCATACTCCTAGCATGGCTGATGACTTCATTGCAATCTCCTATACTCCATATGCCTTGCTTTGGGGAGCATGTGTCCAATGAAAAGGTGTTAATCTGGTCTTCAGATCTCCCACGTCACTACAAGAACTGATTGTACTGAAGCATCTAGACTAGTCTCAGGCTATATTAAGATCTTTGTGGAATTCTTGCCCCTGAGACGCGTCCGTGATTCTATTCTTTTCTCTGCCTCGTGACTATGTTTTCCGGGACCTCCGGCATACACCTATCGGCACCGGCGTGCCGAGCCTGCTGTACTTAAGCCATCGGCTTCCCGACCTATTTCCTCCTGTGTAGCCGGCCCTGGAATTTTGGTATAACGCTGGCCTTTACACTTTACATTTTACTGGCGAACCTCTCTACATCACGGCACTTCTACATCTGATCATGTCGAAAACTCATCACATATTTCCTATTACTTAATGTTGAGTACCATGAATACTTGGCACTCAACATATACCAGCACGATGACTAACCATCATTCTCATTCGCATATTCGTTCCACCTCATCCAACGAACCAGTCGTTTTGGCATTCGGTGTGTGTCTGCACATTTTTTTCCTTTTTTTTTCCGACATTCATTTCTCACTATTCCGTCGGAGCTTCACCGGTTAGCCAAGACTTTTCTTCCCGGCAGGCGGGCCGGCTGCCTCAAAACGGTCTGATCCCGACGCTTACTCCCAAAGCCGACCGAGAAATCGGCATCGGCCCCGCTGTCTCTTCAACTCGAGATGGGATGGGTCTGAAGCCGGCCGAAGTTTTGCCTGAACACTGAGACAGATGCAATATGGTGGGTTCTAGCGTAAAAGAAGATGATGGACTGCATGCAGTGATGCACTGGACTACCGATGAGGAATGGTGTCAGATTTGGCCCACCTGAAGCTCAGACAGGCATCAGATTTTTCGACGCCATAGCGGCTATACACGAGCATACAAGTCATTGATATGGAATGTGTCGACAAAACGGGCAGTAACAGGTACGACGTCATCCTACAGACCGATCTCATGATCCTTCTGCAGGAGGCGCCGCACGTGTGGTCGTCATCGACAGCTGTCAGAGCGTACATAGTAGATACTCAGATCGGACTATCACCGTTCATTTCGTCAGATAACATCACCTTGCAGGTATGCGACCGGGGCGTGAGCCCTTTTTCGGAGAACGAGCGCCTCGTCTCGTGGTGGGCATGAAGTGTGAACAATTGTCCGCTCGACTATCACGACTGTTTCAGTCGATTGTGTGGGTTATGCGGAGCATTTTGTTTCGCTGTACACACGATGATTGCTCGAGAGCTATCCGCCGCATTCCGGATGTAACATGCGCCTCTGACGTAGTGAGATGAAATGTTGGTGTGCGTGTGGAAACGGGCCCAGGCGAAACTGGATGAGGACCTGAGGGGCCACAGAATTCTGACGAGTTACGGTAT